AAAATAACGACTTCCTAGATGTGGCACTGCTACAAGAATGAGCTTCTACAAGGTAATACCACAAAGTCAGAAGCAAAACAAAAAAAAAAAAAGAGGTAAACTAAAGGTTAATAAAGTTAACTGCCTATAATAGATGACTAAGTAGCTTAATTTACAGCTACATATACATGTGCATTGATGAGGAGAATATTTAAGTCATGTAAATAAAATAAAGTGATTAAGGAGAAGCGCAAAGAAACTACCTTTTCCAATACTTGAATGAGAAAGGCTGTTTATGCAGCTATTGCTAATTGACATGTACAGCACACTCCCAGTGTTTAATCAATTCACTGGTTTTGTGATGCGTGCTATAATCAATTCACTGGTTTTGTGATGCGTGCTATATTAATGAATTTTCCCTTCGGTGGAGCAGAAGTGATAAAACAAAATTAGTCAGGCTCAAAAGTTAAGGTAAACATTCCCCAGGTTGAATCAGGGCCCCCTGAAACTTCCACCTTTGAACATTTCACCTGAAGCGACCAAAGTTCAATTAGGCAACCGCCACTCACAGAACTGCCGACTCATGTGCTGTTTGAATGCATGTAGTAGGGACTGGTGTCTAGATTCAAGGTGTGTGCCATTAAAATGAGCATTTTTGTTCCATTAAGGAATAACTTTTGCCGGAATCTGGGTTGTCCTTGAGTGCTGGAAAGCTTCGTAGAATGGATAATTAGCAGAGGAAATACGCCCAAGAACCCGCTGTGACAGGCTCTCATTATGGACAAAATGTACTTTTGTCCCTTGACAAAACAAAAACAAATAATGACCCATAGTGTCAGTGTGTTACCAATTTGAGCTGTGCTGCTAGAATAAGGTCAGATGTGAACATGTCTAATGTTTTTTTGCCATGTGCACAAAATCCAGTGAGGTCCTAATGGGTAGAAAATAGTGGGTCAGTTCACTTCACTAGCTGGCTCCAAAACTCCAAAACGGCCACCCTAAAAAAAAAAAAGAAAAAGAAAAAAAAGGGGGGCAGTTGTTACAGCCTAGTGTGATGAGTCATGCGGTTTATGCAAGAGGCTAAAGGGGTGGTGTTCCAGCCGGAGGTGAGATTCGAGTGCTGCCACAGTCAACCCGGCTTGAACCCAATGGGTAGCAAATGAGATATGTGGAGCCAGGGACACATGATTGAGCCTGCAGTGCTGCTATGTCAAGAGGGATCTAATTGAAATAAGGATATGATATAAAACCAAGGGGGTGTTTGCATTGTGAAGCCAAACACAGTTGTTGTTTGTGCTGACAAAGGAGATTCATGTCTACGAATGTAATGCTTTGCAACACATCGGCCTCTGGAATTGTTATCAGATCAAAATTTGCACAAATTAAATGCAATGTTGAATTTGCAGCCGAGCTTATAACCGAGAACAAATGATTGACCTAATTTGAAGAAGGAATGTAGGGTAACAGAGACTTGTTCAAAATGTCAACCTTTAAACAAACATGCAGAGGACAGTGACAGTGATGGACTGGGAGAGCACAGCGAGGCTGGTGAATAGATAATAGTCTGGGAATAAAAGGGCACATGGTCAAACAGTCAGAGGGAGGAGGAAAAAAATCTGACTGTCTTCAGCTGAAATGCTTAAAATGCAGCTCAGCTTGGGTTATTATTGGAAAGGTAAATGGATTAGGTATCGCAATATGCAACCTGTCCTTTTACATTGTGAACGTTCCTCTACTTTAACAGCTCAATCAACCTAATGGCACAAATAAGACAAATAGATAATTGATGCTCCAAGTTTTTGTGAACAGCTTGTCTTCGGTGGATTACTGCTTTTCGTTTCACTATTGCCATGGTGCCTTCCATTCCACTCTTATTTCGTCTCTTAAAGAAGGTTCCCACTTTCTTCACAGGGAGTTAAAAAAGAAGTTGTGCAGTAGAAAGTTGGCCTGCACTGCTGTGCGTAGGCAATAAAAAAAAAAGGGTTGACTGACAGGATGCTGTAGAAATCTGCTGCATTGCACTGTACTAAAAAGTAATTTGGCGACAAGTAATTACCTGTGTATTTTTGAATCAAACAAACATCTGCCTGAACAGCAGAAAACTGCCCGTCAATGTGTACATACTGTGCTGCCATTAGACACTCGTTTTCAGTGACACTACTGAGCAGGGTTTGGACACTTTCAGGCGATGACTGTCAATCTGTTGCACTGCAGGGTCCATCTGTTTGTAATGGGATTTTTTTTAGTCCCAAACAGGACTGCTGTTTTCAAAAAAACTCCCAAGCAGGGTTGGTATAAACATGACTGTAGACAGTTCCCACTGCCAATGTGATGTGTGATGTGACAGGCTACTCTGACAATAAGGTTAAATATAAAAAAAACAAAAGACGTCCCTGTTTGTGGAATATGATCAGAGAATAGTATACAGAAGAATGTCCTAATGTTGGACATCAGGACAGTTTTCATACATATATTCATGCTTTTTAAAGATTTTACTACACCTTTAGGAGGCAGATCGTCAGAGCATCTTTTCCCAGAAAAAAAAAGACTGATGAATGATTATGCCAAGATGTAAAATTGGCATATTAACAGGTGATACAATGTGTCTCGAAGGGGCTATGAATGTCAGTAGATTAGACTGTAATATTATATCTTATTTAATATGGACACAGTTAGGCCTCTCTCTCTCCAAACAGAGTCAACAACCAAGCCTTTCATTTCATAAAACAGAGCCAGGGTGATAATATGATATGACAGTGGGTAACAATGACCGTGCTGTAGCTCCAAGGTAGGCAAACAAAGACTTTTAAAAAGGAAATTATTCCCAGTTGGCAGATACCATTCGAGGAAGAAAATAGAGAAGGAAAATTGATCAGCCTGATATGACACCTCCATGAGCATAAGGTGTGATGGTTTATTGTCAGATATATCTGATGTCCTGTTTGTATCTGTTGAGTCTCAGTGCCTGCTGCAGATCAGAGGCCTGTACTACTAAGCAAGACAATCAGCAATGGAGGTTACTTCAGGGTTTACTCTAGGTTTAAAATAGTACGAAGGTGATTTACTTTTTATCTAGGTAGATCACCATGGTAACTTGGGGTTAGGGTTAGGGCTAACCAACCAGGTGTCTTGATGATGGAGATCTATAAGTTGATTGTGAGCGGGAAGGAAGGAGAGAGCCTGAAATACTTTCCAGTATGGTTTTTCATACAAATTATATGATCATGAAATATATTATTAAAGCTCGACTGTTATCATCTTGCAACAGAGACTAAACAAGCACTGAAACCTTCAACTTGTTGTCCATATGATAATTAAGCATATTTACCACTTCCAATTACAGTATGTGTTCTTATCCATTCTTTAAAGCCCCGTAGCTCTCTGTACACCACCAGTGCGGCAGCTGAAAAGTTACATCTTAAGCTGTCAGACACACCACATATGAGAAACTAATTAGTTTAAGGGAAGAAACGGGGGATATAATATTCAGATCTATTGAGCACCAACGATGATTTTATAAGTCTTCATTTGCAGGGAGTTAAAAAAAAAAAAAACACAGTCAGCATTTTTTGACACTTGTTCTTCCTGCATTTGTTGCTGCAACTGTGCTGAGTCTGGATTATGTGCTTAACGTCACACTTTTCCAATTTTCTCTTTATTTGCTCGAAGTTTGAAAAACATAACAATGTACTGACGTCAGATTTGTTCATGATACGATACGGTTATTCAAAGCTCACAACACCTCCTTTTTTGTTTCGACTCAATGAAAACTCTGGGTTGATTTATCAAGATGATAACCAGCTTCATGCGACTGTTTAGGCTGATCTTCTTTGTTAGGATTAGTGAAGCTAGATAACTGAGTATGCTGAACTGGCTTCATAGTGGAGGTCCCGGATCAAATCTGCTTTGGGATCATAATTATGTTAAAGTTTAGGAACTCAAACAATCAGAACAAATAATATCCTCCCTCAGAGCATCAGAGGGAAAGTGCAGAGTTGTGATGCTGTATCACCTTTCCAACCTTTAGAAGGTTGGAAAATCTATTCAGACTATCTCTGCTCATCATGTATATTTTCTCTCTCCTACGTCTGTTAGAAAACGGAAAATAAACAGAGGCCTTACTCTCATACACCAGTAGAATGCAAATGTGCTCCCAAATAGGCTCAATTTCCCATTCTGACTTCATTATAAACTGTTAGCGAGAAGGTCAGAGGGTGGAGAGTACTGCTGAACTTAATGAATCATTGAAATAAACTGCAGTCCACAGAAACGGTCGTCAGTATAGCCAACAGTATATAGCCACTGTAAAATAAGGGTGTTTATGTGTGCGAGTGTTTACGATTGAAGTGTCTGATAGGGACTGCAAAGCTCCATTACAAATAGAGACGCAAAAAACTCATCACGAGTTCATGGATATTTGTAAGAGGGGGAGGAAACGGAGGAGGAGTAGCTGGGAGTGTTAGATGCCTTAACCGGCGATGATAAACGAATTCAAATTCTGCTGGAATTGGAGTTATTGGTTTCAAAGGGAAGAAGATTAAATGCATCATGGAAATCTGCAAGGATTATATTCAGGGCATGCTAAAATCCTTCCAGATTTGAGTAAATAAACACAACTGATTGGCAAGCATAAAGAAAAGGACTGAGGAAAGTGGTGTCAAAATGGAACTGAAATGTTCTTGAATGCATATGCATGAGGAAACTTTCGACTCAAACACATCTTTCATGTCAAATATGGAAACTATGTTCAATGTCAAATCCAACCATTCCAATTATCATGCAGTAACTTTATGTGTATAATATGCAGCTTTAAATTTCATACTTGCTATGCTCTTTGCCATGCATAATGCAAAGAGTTGGATTAAGGCATTTTTTAAATAATATTCATTAAATCACTGCACATGCTCCTTGGAGAACTTTCTTTCTGTCAAACGGGATGTCAATGTGAGGCATGGCATCTTTCACAAAGCTATTCATTGCAGACAATTAAAACTGTTTTGTTTTCTTTCCGTACCTCACAGGAAACATGGTGAGCAAGGAGGGTGGCAAATGCATGCTCACCAACTCAGAGTCTGACTCGGAAGCAGCGCCCCTACCGTCCACCTCGCTCGCACTGGAGGTGAAGTGTTCCCTGGAAGCCAGTCGACAGGTGAGGAAGAGGAACAAGGCCCTGCAAGTGCGTTTCAAGGATATCTGTGAGGCGCAGAACGAGCAGAGGGAGGCGGAGTTGCAAGCGGCGGGGAGAGGTGGCAAGCCGCTCTCGTACAAAGTGGCATACCGAAGGTACATGACTGTCCCCGCCCGCAGATCCATCCCAAATGTTACCAGGAGCACCGGCGTACAGACGTCGCCCGACTTGAAAAAACGCTATCAGACCTTTCCGTTCGAGCGCAAGAAAGGCCACACCTTTAAACACGTGGCTGCCGTGGAAACTTATAAAGGTCAGAATAACGGTTTTGTCATGGAGGTGAAGCAGTCCAAGGCTGCAGAGCAGGGTGTAGATGAGGAGGAGGAGGGAGCCTGTGGGGGGAGTGGAGTCCGGAGGACCAGGGCTCTGCTCCATACTAATGAGTGCGTTGCCACAGTGGAGCAGCACACTGCACCTGATGGCCTGTGCTCTGACGCTCTGCTGCTCGCTTGCTCTGCAGACACAGACTGCCTTGCAGACACACAGAGAGGAAGAGGAGCCCAGGCGGAGTACCAGCTCTGCAGTGTCCCATCTAAAGCCCGGACAGGATTACAACACACAGAGGCCGACACAGACCGTTTGACCAGGAGGCAGCTGCTAAATCTGGAGGAGGGCTCGTCCCGAACCCTGCCGGACAGGGCCTCCAAGGTTACAGGCCCCATTGCCTGGAACTCGCTCACCCAGGTGGAGTGTCTGGACAGCCCGTCTGTGCGGAGCAAGCGGAAGAAAGCGCTGCAGCTCAACGGGCTGCAGAGTGAAACGCTACCACGCTCCAGCAGAGGCTGTACGACACAGGCACAGTGCCACACGGGACAGTTATCTGCCCGGCCTCTGCGGGTCATTGGCGAGCCTCTGTCACCCTGTAGTGGTGTTGGAGCCGTTGGGGCGACGCCTGACCAACCACAGGAGGTCTGTAAGCAAATAGTGCCTATGAATAAGGACGGGGATGTTAAAGCACAGCTCCAGGCGATGGAAAATCTCATCAGCTCGAGCCAGGAAACCATCAAGGTGCTGTTGGGGGTCATCCAGGAACTGGAGAAGGGCGAGGCCCACAGAGAAGGGTAAGTTTCCTCTCTTTTCGCCTCTGAAGTATACTAGAGATGTAGAGATGTGACTGTATCTCTTTTAATGCACTCCTAATACATTAAATGCCTGCCAATATGGAGAACCAATCCACACAAATGCTTTATTTTCCAAAATCTGAAAACTGCATAGAACTCTTTTCAGTGATCACTACATTTCTTCTTGTCATTAAGGACCAAGACTAAGGTGTTTGCACAACATGATAAACTAGGAATTTAAACTTATTTTGCAAGGACAATGACAAATAAATGACATTGATTTCTGTAACCTGAGCTGGATTTGTGACGATCTACTTTACTCTGATGTCAAGCATATGTTGGGGGAAAAAGAGAAATGTAACGTACCTAAAGATCAAATTTCAGAAAAGAACATGTCGTTCACAAGGAAATTTCAGAGAAACAGAACACATTTACGATTCAGCATGAACGGGTAAAGTACTCTCGTGATCTGTCACATTATTTTTACATCTTAGAGACAAGCTTGTATGTGTGACACCAGTTCAGCACGGCCCTGACTGAACCACCCAGAGTGTGTAAAAAGAGATCACAGTGGCATGTAGCAGGGATAATACCAGCTACCTGATGTTCCCTGTAGTGCTATTACAGCACAATGTCCTTTTGTAATGATTTCCCTCAAGAAATGACAAAGCTGCTGCAGAACTTATTTACAGACAAATGGTCTCGCTCAATTTGGCCCAAGAGGTTCGATGATCCGGCATATGAAAGACTGCCACTATGAATGTGGCCTTTAAACCACATTCAACCCAAGGCTGGAACTGGCAGACATGCCATCATTTGTATTATAGTACTGCAGCCTTTACCAGCCAGTGGTGTCCTTTAGATGATCTCCGTATTGTCTAATGATTAAAAGTACAAGCGTTGAACAAAAAAAAAAAAATCAGAACATCAGTCATATTCTCGACCAAAAGATGCTGCAAGTGAGAGAAGGAGAGCACTCTCTAAATTGCTCTATAAAGTCGTGCAATCGAGACATTTTGCATGAGCTTACTTGAATTCTTTGGTAATTAAAAACAAGGAAATACCCGACTATGTGCCTAGATTTTCCTTGTTCTATGGTTGTGCCTGGCTGCAAAGCAAATTTCTTCTCCTGGAATATATGGCAGAAAAGTTTAAGTCAATGTAAATATTGGGTGTCAGGACTTTTTCCTTGTCTACGCTAAAACAAAAGCAGCCGTTTTGGGAGGACATCCAATCAAATCATGGAGGAACACTTTCAAGAACCTTGATTGGAGATGTTCTGATACCATTTTTCCTTCCTGAAACTGATTAGAATTTTAAGACTATAAAATGAGCCAATACAGAGTTCCCCTTCAATACTTGGGCAAATGATGTTTGTTTTTTTGTTATTGTCACAAGATAATTTAGTAATAATTTATGTGATCGGATTGTTGCATTGACTGGCGCACGCACCCAATCATCACCCAACGGTTTATTTTAGTGAGTAGCAGAGGCCAATTACAGTATTGGTATTCTAAGCAAAGTCTGCAGTAGACATCTCATAATTCGCCTTATGCAGCTGCATGACATTAATACAGCAGGTCCAAGGACTTTAAAAAACATTATCAACCTAGAGTCCAAAACCTGTGGAATAAATGTTTAAGCACACCCCTGGTCAGCTTATATCCAAGGAACAGCCTCCAAAGTGCACAAGAGCAACTCTCGATATCAACCTGACAGATGACAGGATTAAAGTCAACTTCAGCAGGGATTCGGCAAGGAACAGATCTTACAACAGTTCGTGTTTCAAATCTAAAAAGGCAGTTATCTTCCTTTAATCATGCAAAAGGCCGCCTTAATCTCCTTATCACCTCACTCGTAAATGTGTGTTGTGAGTCGAAAAGTAAGTGGACATGTGGTGCAGCATAGGGAACCAACTTTACCGTGTCGAGAAACACATCTGGCTTATCCAATGTGTCTAAACTGGCAGGTGGGAGAGGAAATAAAAGCGGAGGGGAGAGACTCAATTTGTGACTGGAAATTAGTGACTGCTGTTTAATGGTGCCATCTGGTCTAATACAGAGATAAACAATCACATTGTGTTGCCTTGTGTTAATTACAAATGCCTACATTGACTTAAAGTCAGTGAGCAGAATAAGCCTCTTGTAATCCATTTGAGCCAAGCTCTAATTTTTGTACAAGCAGGGTCCTTTCCCTCCTGTATACTTTTTCCATTTTCAAAGTTGAGCCAAGCAAAAAAATTCTAATGCTGTTTTAGTCACACTACATTAGCCTTGGACTCCCCTTACATAAATGTCACTGGTACGACAAATAGGAGCGCCCACAGGCTATAGGTGAACCATGAGTCCAATTACATTTGATATATAACTGCTTATGGTACACGACGTTCATTTTTCATCGAACGAAAACGCAACGCTGTGTGCATTCATCACAAACCATGTGGTGACATGTCACGCTGCTCAAGCACAAATTGAAATTCAATGGCTAATGTGCTGAGACCAATAAAAAACAAAACCCATCCCCACATACCAAACACATGTTGAGAAAAAATAAAAATGGCAGCAAAGCTTTGGCGCTCTTACTACAAAGAAGTGGAAAATTCCACTGATCTCTTTTGTGACAAAACAACGTACCACAATTCAAATCAGCCAAGGTCTTAAAGTTATTTTAGCTTGAAAATGTACATAGTAATGAAGCTTAAAATTGTCACTTTTATTCCTCCACCTGATCCCCTGATCTGTATGACCTCAGGAGGATGACAGGAAGAGTGTGGGATGGGAAATGAAAAAGCGAATCTGAAAAAGTTTCCTGTAGTGGAAGGAACAGAATATGCCCAACTTTTTAGTGGAGTGTATGACATCCTCAGTGAGTGTTGGAAACACTCAATCTTCCGTCTAAGTTTTTTAAAGTTAAAAAACAAGGAGTATATCGAAGCTGTTGCAAATCCCGAACCAACCTTGACACCATGGTTGCTGAATCAATCAAAAAATTGGAAAAAAAAGAACCAACCATGTTGCAGTAATTTTACCAACTTCTTTAGAATTTAAGGCTCATTGTGGATTTTTATAACCAAACTGCTGTATTGTCTTTATAGCTGACCTCTGTACCTTTGCCCCATTTATGAGAAATCTAGATATTGGATAGTTCATCTTTTTTCATAATGATGATTCAATAAGGACGATTTATAGAAAGTCCATTTCAACAAATATAATGAAAAAGGATGGGAATTCCAATGTCCTGAACACCCTTGACAAAAAAAACAACCTTTTTTGCACCTCAGATTGAGATTATTGAAAGGAAAACAGTTAGACAGGAAGCATGTGACAGATAGTGAGAGTGACAAGGAAGGGTGAGGTTCTCCATTAGTAACTGTATTAAATCTTCAGATTGATCAAGCAGATCTTAAAAACTGCTGACTTTTGCACATTGCCTCACTTCATGTCTTGACAACCAGTGCATTCAAGCGAGCACACACTCATATCCCATATAAAATGCTGCCCACCACATAGTTAAAAGTAAAATGCAGTTTTTGGAGTACATATGTTTGATAGAAGTATCTAGCATCACAAAGCACTCCAAATAAATACTGCAGTATCATCAGCAAATATCGGCATGCTAGACACAATTAATTACACTCACAGGGACTTGTTGACAGTGTGTCATGTAGCACTGCGTATGTGTGTATTTCTTTTCTTGGACTTCCCACGACTCTGTGAACTTTGGGAAAAATCACCAAGTTGCAAATAGAGAGTAGGGAGTATAAATATACTGTTAATGGCATTTTTGACTTTGATCTCACCAAGGAGCCTGCAGATGGATGAGTGCTCTCTTATCAATCCAAGTTGAGGAAGAGCTATGGGAGGGGGAGAGAATTGACCGCTTATTGATCGGACCATCAGGGTCCAAAGTTATGACGGCCTTGAACTCCCCCTCTCCACAGAACCTTTACCTCCTCTTCAACGGAGAGCGCCGTAATTAAAACTAATCCGAGCTGCAATCTTCAATTTTTACTTCCTCACAGATCCTCTTTGAGAAGCTCCTCATTACCTCATTCTGCGACAGCCTTAAATAACTGTACTGATATCAACACCTGTAGTATTCCTGTCAGACCACATAGCATGGTGGGGAGTAGATAAGAAGTGGAAATTTATGATAGTAGTTTAATTTATTATTGCTACTGCTACACCGTATTGGCAGCGTGACAACAGGCGCTAAGAGAATTTTGAGCAACGTGTCTTTGCTACTTCTAAGATAAGACATGGGAAATTCATGTATATTATAAATGAATTCTATGAATGTGAAAGCACATATGCACAGAAGTCAGGATCTTTCCAAGCTGTGCTCCTTTTAGAAATCAGAGTTACAAAAAGCGCTTTCTCTATACTTCTTTAAGTAGCAAACTGCTTCTTAAATATCCCCTTCATTTGAGGTAAATGGAAGTGTATTAGTGCTGCTCAAAAGATGGAAACTTACATTTGATAGCATCATCTCCCTTGATAACCATGCCCCCATTACTTTGGATTATCTAAAGATTCGGGTTTTAAAACCTGCATTGGAGAGGAAAAAACTATCTGAATACTTAAAGGATCTTTCAGATATATATGTATGACTCTATTTAACCACCCAATTGAGAAGGGGAGGAGTTGATGTAGGACAAAAAACTGAATATCCGCTACAGATAACTTGACATTTGTACTGAAATTAAATGACTGCTCTAGCTTCAGCACTGCAGGTCACAACCATAAAACCCAACCAGCAGAGGATTCCCAGTAGTCCATTTAATTGTTGAAGTGAGTCCACAGTATGTTCATTAAAATATGTCATAAATTACATGGAGACAGTTACTGTCAATCAATATTCAAATGTTCCCATGCTCATCCAATAAGAAAGCCATTGAGCCTTTGAAGCATGTAATCAAATGGTCCAATCCAAGGCCATCACTTGTTCTTCAGCTGCCCTGTGGGAATAAAGCATCTATAATGCCGATATTTGATCTCAGCGGCATAGAATGATTTAAAGACATGCAGGATTCAATATGATAGTATATAGATGGTTTAGAATTTGGTGAATCAAATTGGCAATGAAATAAAGATTGGCAAATGCATAAAGCCGAAGCACCGCAGTCCTAAATAAAACTGTCAAATTTGATCTGCTTAGAAAAAGCCATTTATTTTTCAGATGATTCTCAGCCCTTTTCAGGTAATAATGCTTTATACAAAAAAACAACCTGGCCCTTGCTTTTCAACAGTATAGATTAATCAATTGTGGGTTTTCTCTAGTGAGTATAAAAAGGCTTGATATTGGAAAGAATAACAAAGGACGGAGGATGATACATCGAGTTCCAGGAAACAGTTTTTGGCATTGAATTCCTCAACGTTATATCATTTCATGAGAATCTTTTTAATATATTGTTGGGTAATGAAACAATCCTGCCACAAGTCTTTGTTAAAGACAGACCCACCTTTCAATGCAGCCCTGAAACTCATTCGGAGAACTATGTTGCTCGTATGTGACCTCTAATCATTCAACCGCTAATGGCCCGACACCGTGCTCTCTCTGCCCCGGCTGCCGGACACAAGCCACTCAGGAGGGCGGCGTGACTCCTCATCATCCTCATTTACATCCCTGCTAACGAGGGATGAAAAACTAGATGAGAAAAGAGGGGGGGTGCGAGGCGAGCAGCTTAACGAGTCCTGTAATTACTCATTCACAACTCTTATCTTCCCCACAGACTCACCTATCGAACCGGACAGGACACAGCCAACTGCGACACGTGCCGGAACAGCGCATGCATTATTTACAGGTCAGTGGCCATTCCTCTGCAAAGACACGCCGATCTAAATGTGCCTCGTCCTTTTTTTTTTCCTTGAGGGGGAAGTCGGCAAGTGAAGGAAAAAAAAGGACTGCAGAGAGGCAGGGGGATGCAAGACTAATGTGGACGCTGTTAATGAGGACATGGGGACATGTGACGTTTACAGGCCATGTCCTTTTCTCTGAATGTACACATGTTCACACCCTTCATTCACTCAAGGTCGTGTAGCAGATGGAGCGTTAGCTTTTTGGACAAAAAGGCTCAACTTGAAAAGGGGAGAGTGCTATGGAATGAGTGGGCGAGGTGACACTAAAAGTGAAAATAGTTCATCACTGTGTGCCGTTACCAAGCCAACTGAACGATACGACACGATACACTTTACTGTCCCCTTGGGGAAATTTGTTTCAGACTTAAAGGGCTGCACACAATCAGCTGCTTCAACAACCTCTGTGTACTATCTATCAAATTCAGCTCAATTTATTTGACAGCCAGGAGTCCAAATTCATCAGAAAGCTTTCTTTGTGTGAATGCAAACACTTCATGTTAATGCGTTGTTTTTATATGAAATGATTCTGAAACAATTAGTCAATAAGACCTTCAACTAAATTTAGTCTGAGAAATAAGTCACAAGAGTGTGTTTTTAGCTACTTAATGTGGTGGTTTTGCTGTAAACTGAGTTCCCTGTATTCGACAGGTGGTCCTCTTGGGCCCTCATAGTGGTTGATGCTATCAGTCACTGTTTTTTAACTGTTTTTTTAAACCAAACAAGTTGGGCGATAATGAAAATCACAACAGTACTTTAAGGATGTCAATAGTCTTGCAGGTGTTAGGTGTTGGCCAATAACAAAAATGAGTGAAAAAGTCCCATTTTGACCTGATTAGGGGGAGAAAAAAAACGAGGAATTGTTTTTAGAATGCTTCCTCTGGAGACTATGAAAGTCCAAGGAACTGCCATCACTCTATTAGTTGGGTTGCCCTTTATTTCAGGGTATGAACCTACTGGACAGACTGACACAGCCATTGTCTGGGGTCAGCATACCATCACAGTCAGAGGCCCCCGACACTCTAAAAACCTTGCAGGTCATGAAACCTCTGTCAGGCTTAAATCTTCTGATACATAATGACAGACAATCTGCAAGTTTTGTAAAAAAAAAAAAAAAAAAAAAAAAAAAGGAGGGGTGGGTGGCAGATGAGAGAGACAGGAGATTTACAGGGTGGGAGGGGGAGTGGCGATCAATGAAACCGTTTTTTAGTGGACGCTGCTGTTCTTCTCAGTCAGACTTTTAACCCCTGAAGAGACATTTAAATCATTTTCTATCCACTGCCCTCAATAGCTGATAAGCCAGCGGCCAAACTTCAATGAGCTCCTGAATAAAGAAAAAAGGAATAGCTGTGATGGTGTGTTCAAATGGAAGTCGCCTGCGTTGCATTACAAGAATGGGCTGCTTAACACCTCTTTAATGACAGCAGGATAGATTGATGTGCAGGACACTGGAAGAGAAGAACGTGGCATGAGGAGGCAGTGGGTTGGGTTCCCAGTAAAAGGATGGATTACTGATGAAACTGGAGCTTGCCAGGATTATGAATTAGTAAGCAGCATGTTGAATGTTAACCCTGTGCCATTTAGTCGTTAGGAATGGAAGGTTCGTTCACATGCTTTGCCTATCCATTCTGCTTTGCCACATAGACTAAATAGCAGCTGTTCTTGCCCTGCTGTGCCAGCCCTCGAGATTTGCTAACCATCCCTCCAAGTCTGTGAGAACAAGCAGAGTGTGATGACACGTCTAAATTTAAAAAAATAACAGCGTTTCCAAAATAAGGTCTTTCTTGTCGAGATATTCTTGGCAGCTCAGTCTACCTATAATGATCACTGTTGTGTTGGGGAAGGTGTTTCATTTAGATATCTCTGAGACTTTAATTCTTAACAAGGGGTTTAAATTATGCAGAATGCATGCTGCACTAAAAGCGATGATTACGTTTGCTCATTTGGATTTTTGCCAATTAAAAACGTGTCAGTGAGTTCTCAGACATTTCTCTCTAATCTAGAACCTTCTTCCACCTGTGAGAGAGAAACCGTTTGAAAATAATACAAAGGGACTCAGACAGAGTCAGGTCCAATTTGTCCCTTGACTTGGTCGCAACTGATCATGTGCGCTCACTTTTGACAACCCCTCTTAAAAACAGGCCGCTATATTATCATCACAACTCCACATTTGGCGTTCTCAGACCTGCCGCAATGGACTGTAACGACTTTTATCTGCGGAGGAGGTGCAGAAAAACAGAAACTCGACAGGAAACAGACGTCTCGTCTTTGACAAACCATGCGCCGGCTCCTGGCAGGGTTTCAAAGCTTCATGAAAGGGCAGGAATTTTGAAAAGTGAGATGTTTGAAATCTGTTAAATTGATCTGAGTTTCTCCTTTAAAAGAGCCTCCTTTAAAGAGGCATGGTGAATTGTGTTGATTTGACACAGAATCAAATATAGCAGTTGTGTTCACACAGGCGGCAGGATTAAACGGCAATCTAATTAGTTAGATCTCCATGAAAACAACCTCTCTGGAGATGATGGAACACAGGAATGTAGGCAGAGAGAACACACAGTGAACATTTGAAATCCCGCTGGGTATCTATCTGAATGTTTTCGGTGAGTGTGCTTGAGTCTTTGAGCCAGGGACAAAGTCCTAACTCCTCATTTATGACGAAGGTGCTCTCATGACCGAAGTGGACATAGGGGTCTATAAATCATTTTAACGCAGCCCGGTCAGGAGCCAGCCATGCACTCTTCAGAATAATCAATTTGTCCAAAGAGTATATGGCACCATCTCAGAGCCCATCCTTAGCATAACAACAGCAGCACATCAATAGGGCGCTGTAGTCCAGGGGCATGGACTTCAAACGGAATACACAAGCTGCTGTGCTCTTGTCCTTGTCTGGATCCACTTTCCTCACTTTCTTGAACTCACTCTGGCTCTCTTTTATCCCCCCCCCTCCTCCCCCCCCCCCGGTAAACTCCACGTCTCTCTTTGTAGCCGCTTCAGCTGAAAATGTTTCCTCCAAGTTAACGGTGTGTGTTCAAATGAAGCTGTGCATCAGGATGTTTCATAGAACATGCATGACACTGAAACAAAATAGCCACAAAGAAAAAGCCATGAAAAGTTTAGTGCAACTTCATCCCATCCGGCCAGGTGATGTCATATCTCTGACTAAGTGAGTCGTGGAAGAATAAAAGTATTCGGAGAGTTAGCATGAGACACAAACACAGAGAGGGAGAGGCTGAAGAGGAAGAAAAAAAACAAAAAAAAAACAGACGAGACAGACAGGATGGTGCAGAAAAGCCGGAGGGATTTGAAATGAATTCCGCTTATTTTGAGCCCACAGCCGTTAAGTCGTGGTGCGTCTTGCTGCAGAAAAGCCTGTAATCTCATTTTCCTCACATTGCATTGGTATGGAGTAATTTGCTGATCAAACAGGGAGATAGATTTAAATGACTGCGATTAAAGAAGTTGATTGGTCCCCATCACGGGGTCCCCTATTATTCTGCAGTCATTGGAATTTTGTCATAGTTGGCTATTCTTGCCATTCATTATCAAACAGGGGACAGCGGCTAGTTCTAACTATCTTACCATCAAATGCTTTTATTACACCGTGGAGTGAAAACAGGTCATAAATACAGGAAAGAAAAAAGGACAAAGGAATGGCTATTTAAAAGGAGGAAATAATCTCCAATCTAGCGTACAACACCATGAAAATCAATTTAGCATGGCTGAAGACTGAAGAGCTGATTACATTATAACATATGGAAATCATTGCCCCACAGCACGACTCTGCTTGGGCAAGATATCTCTCTTTTTTTTTTGTGTGTGCTGGCATAATGATCTTTTCCAACATGGTGGCACGCCGGTTGCCATAGCTACAGGACGGATCTCTGGGAGGACAGACAGTTTGAGGGGGGACAGTGAGGACAGTCGGGAAAGAGCACATTAACACTCAGGGGGGGGAAGATAAGAGAACAAAAAAGGAAGGCGGGGGAGAATGTGAAACAGAGAGAAGGGGGAGATAAAGACTCACAGATGTTTAAATCAAGAGGAAAGGAGAAGGTGAGAGGTGGTGGGTTGATTTGAGGTGGTTATAATTAGGCACATTTCTTTTTGTACACTTTTCAAAAAGGCGCAGGACTGGACAAGGAAAAAAAAAAACGAGAGTGATTTAGAGGAGCAAAGAAACGAGGGAAGAACGAGTGGGGGAGAGAGGTTAACGACAGACAAGGTCCAAAGTGTCGTCTTCAATTTGTTCTGATCCAACAACACGGAACAGGGAGTGGCAGGAACGGGACGGGGGAACATGCCAACAGCCCTTCACTTTTCTCTCCGAGCAGAAAATCAAATTTTAGAGGGACACTGCCGAGCCCGTGACAGTTTTACAAGGAGGAGCTGATAACTGGGTCTGGCAGAGATTCATAAAATCTTTCATTAAAGGACCTTTTTAGTATGTCCTAAAGATTAGATTATTATCTTTCCACGTTTTATCTTTTTAGTGGCCTTTTTAAGTTTTCTTGCTATGGACCAATCTACCTCTACTGTTTATGATTCTCTTGGCAGATGGTTGGGCTATTTGTGTTGCTCATCAGTCTATGGCAATGTTAGCACACTGATTGCTAATCTCCACATGCTCTGTGCGCGCCTCGGTCCGCCACAGATCAGATCAATACATGATCCAATAAAAAAAAAAAAATACTCAAAGTTCTAAATTGCAGAGTTGGTAAGCAAGTAAGAAGAAAGGTGTTTAAAAAATAACTATTGGAAGCGTGATCCAAAGGCTTCTGGATGAATGACAGAGCCGACACAAACAATAACTATAAAGTAAGCAGTTAGTCACTGAAAAGAGAGAATTCAGGTAAAGTACAACTTAAGTGTAATGTAAACAGGTTAGAAAGCTCTGAGTCCATGCAGGGCAATAACAGGTAGCCATTAAACACAAGGCACCAACAGACTCAGCACAATTTGAAGTTTTCCTCAAGGAGAGATGAAAATCCTATCACCATAAAAGTGTGGATGTATGTGTGACTGTGTGTTAGTGTGTAAGAAACATCTCTCACAGAGAAGGACACACAATGAACCCCCAAAGATTCCCCAAAACACACTTAAGAGATCTGTCAGAGTTCCTTTACACATTATTAATTGGAGTTCCTAGGAAGAGATGAAAAGGGAAACAACAAAAGAGTCGCTGTTTCATAAATGACACCAACACACTCACAACTCTCCGACAAACACACACTCATTGATCCCAGCATGCTGTGATTCTGTGTTTGAGCTGAGTCTTTACAACGTGAGGATTATGTGTTTAAATGTGAGCTTACGTTACACTTCAGAAGACGTCACGATGTTTTTCACACATTATGATCATTATGGGCAGGTGTAGAGGAGGTACGAGTCAGCAAGATGGTGGGACTTGGATTGTTTTGCAGGCAAAAAGGAATGGGTCTACATGTGCAATAGGGAGGCATGGGTAATTGTGTTGAAAGGAAAGGGGGCGGGGGATCAATATTTAAAGTGATCGGCTGATTAAATTATCCGTCCACACAAGATGCTTTTTCAGAAATGAGAGAAGAGTTTTGGTTGTTCATGAGTTTAGGCTGGAGCCGACGCATTTGTAAATCCTCAAAAAAAAATAATAATAATAATAATTACAGACTAGAGTTGAGTTATAAAAGAAAATAAATTGAGTCTCTTGCTTCCTGGCACCTGCTGCTGGAAGCCTGGCGCCTTAGTTTGGGACCAGTTGCCTGCCAGAAAGACTAAGAACAGGATGAGTTTGAGTTTAGAGAGCTGAAGTAGTATCTGTAAAATGATATATTGGCTTGAAGCTGCATGTGTTTTAAAGGTGTTCAATGTTGGGGGTTTTATTTTGGAGACATCTCAGGATGGGTCTCTTTGTACGAGCTAGGAAGCGTTACATAGAGTGAAACCATTCAAACCCACATATTTAAAATTGATACAATCCCACATATTCAAATGATTGAAAGAATTGAAGAGTACTGAAGCCTTTAAAAAGCTTCAGGTCTTTGGTCGTATTCTTGACCAAAAGCTGCTACAAGTGAAGGAGAGAGAGACAGCGCTGTCGAAATTGCACAAATATGTGCATTCCAGCAATGAAAGGTCGGGCAGCAGTTTGCCTGTATTTTCAGGTAAATCAATGGAAAGAAAAAATCCAAATATTGGGCACCTAGGACTTAAATTTTTGTTGCCACGGTACTGAAACCGGCATTGATAATGTTATCATATCAAAGATTTTAAAAACTCTGGTGGTCACAACCCTACATAGTCCAAGCTGCGCAGAACAGGTTGGAAGAGAATGCACCTTCAGTTTCTGATACACACATGCATCTGTTTCCACAGGCAGACAAATGTCGCACTCCAACAGACTTCACACAAAGTGAAGTGGATTTATATTCAGATAATTACCAGTCTGTGATTTATTGCTAAAAGCTGCAGTGTTCTTGGCCCCGTGTAAAAGCCTGAGTCAAACAAATGCAAAGTGCTGAGTGTCTGGTTCAGCACCCAACATTCACTTGAGTCACTGTAAGACACCCACATTTACATCTGTTCTCTTCTAATCAATGCCAACTCCAATGTACATATATATATAGTAAAAAAACACCTCAGTCTACTGAAACATCTTCAGATCCTTATGTAAATGGCCTTAAAATGTTGAATTTGTTTGGATTTTGAGCTGCAGCATTCAGAGTGTTCTACACCGACAGCCCACGAGATCCAGCACTTGTATTGATGGAGTTTTATTCACTGTATTGAACGTTTTGGAAACCAGGAGCGCTTTTAAAATTTCAGAGAAAAGATGTCTCAGTATTTGCAACTAGCAATCATCATTCGCCTTCGTATTTCAATCAAAGCAGGCGGCTTACTCCCTCGCTCACCTTGACTCTCAGACAGCAATAACTGGTCGAGTCTAGCCGGACAAACTGCTCTATTCATGAACTGGATCTGTTATGTAAGACTATCCGTCAGAGTTCCCACTAGCCGGACTGGTGGCTGGAGGAAGCTTTAGCAGATTAAAGTCCCTGCACACTTAACACAGCTGAGACTGTAATCTGAGTTTCACTTAGTGGAACCTCTCACAGTCACATGTGCACGAGTGTGGGATTACAAAGATGGCTGGTGAACATAAATCTCTTTGCACCCTGGGGGAAATGTGGAGTACAACAAGAAGAAGAAGAAAAAAACGGATGTGTTTGTGTTGACAAAACCCCCACAATTAAATCTTCTGCATCCCCCCATTATCTTTTTGCCTATGTTGTATAATCAGGCAGCCATCAAAGCAACATGATGTGCACTCAATTCTGAAAAGGCTCACATCAATACTCAGGCTCTGATCTCAGTTTTAGCAAAGCAAATGATCTTTGGTTCAACACCCCGCCGGTGACCCAGCATCCTGCTCGCCAGGAGAAATACTAATGGGCTTCCCTCTCGCTTTATGAATCACAATAAGAATGAACATTTAAAAAAAAAAAAAGAAAGTAGAGGCGATAGCATCAAAAGTGGTCAGATGAAAGCAGTCCAAAATGGCGGTTTTAAAGGGAGTAAAGGATGAAATGTAGGTCGTCTTACCAGTCTGCAGTAGATGCCTGTACCAGGGTTAGGTAAGAACAGGCCAAAATGTGAGGCTGTTAATATTGTAAGAGGGGAAGTTTGGTAGTCAAAACATGTCAAGATTTAAAGAGGCGGGAAGGGGAAAGAAAACTAAGTGGTTTTCTTGCAGAGGAAGGAAACGTATAGAGACGACAAGGTATCAAATAAAAGCCAGACTTCAAATAATGACAGCCTAATTGAACATTATACTTCGAGTAGGAAAAAAGTAATTGACTCGTGAAAGAATTGGATGACTCAGGTGTTGAATTAACATTTATTTAATCATATTTGAGTGTAGGGTTATGGTTAGGGTAAGGCAGTGGTGTAGTGGAGCCTGGAGAAGTGAGTGTACTCTTATTTTATGCACTAAATGTTGTTCTAAGCGTGCAGTCCAGCAAAGGATAAACGCCCTGCTTTAAAAACAGTAACATGTAAGACTACTACTGCATATTAGATTATCCTAAAAATGGGCCTTTAGTGTGCGGCATGTTTACCATTCTCTGTGAGAGAGCACACCGTATCATCAATAGATAGAGTTCAGTCATTCATACTGTAGTCACACAAAGGTTTCTTCTTTCAAAGAAATGCACAGAAGTTACTCTACGTTGCGTTTCAGCACAACACTCCACGTAAGTGCAGCTCAGTAATGATTCTGATGGGCAGAGTGGCTTTTATAACACCTCGGGGAACATTTCTGTTGCAATGATATGTTTAAAGGTGAGCTGTTGATCGAGGTCTTTTGTAGAAAACAGTGAGTAGAGAATAACCTTTAACTGTCATGCACATTTAACTCTAAGGGTCATTATACAATGAGATTAAGCCACAGTAGAGGTGCAGATTTGGCAATAAAAACAGTCTGTTTGGTGAGTTACTGCGCAAAGCGGCACGTTACGAGTTAGAGACTCTGATTGGCTTACCTTTGTATTCGTACCCTACCAACCAAAGATGGCAGCAAATTAGTAACAGGGGCGGGCGTGTGAGGCCTTTACCATGCTAGGAAATGACAATTGCAGCATACTACTGAACAATCAGATGCAATTTAGTGAGTGGGTATACGAAATGGAGACTGAGAAATAGTAGGTTTAAACCATGAATACACCATTGGGGTTAGGGTTGCTACCTCGCCTATTTTTTTGTGAGTATAAGATAAACACAGTTTTCATTTTCAAATGCTGCCCTTCTCATCCATTTTAGTCTACTTGACTGTTTTTGTCTTCCTGAGAGCTGGAATGCTTCTGAGTGTACTCCTGTGAAAATACTGTTTTTTTTTTTATTTACAGCAGCAAGCAGAAACCTAACATAGAGGAAATCTTTAACAGGCAATGCAACAAAATCAATGATAACCCTGCAGCAGTAAGCTTCTGTTGAGCTGATTTTGTCCCTGATTTTTTTTCCTTTCTTCGCTGCAGTGTGGAGCTGGACTTCAAGCTGCAGGAGGACAAGCTGCAGCCGCTGATGAAGAGGCTTTGCCCTACAGATGACACCCACTTCCCCCCCTTGACTTACCCACAGGAGGCCTTCACCTCCACCCCAAAACGCAAGTCCAAAGCGGACTCCAAGAAGCACGCTCGCTGGAAACTTTGGTTCTTGTGAAAAAAAACACAGGACGGACTTTTTCACCCGCTACCAATGCACAGGATTTACGCAACGCCCATACTTTATTGGTTTTCCCACCGTCTTCTGTTCTCTCACATCGGCTACTTGGCTCAAAAGAATGGAAAGTACTACCACTGGATACTGATCCCCTTTTTCGGAGAAGACAGGATGTGTTATGGGACACATGAGTGGATTCCATGGAAAATTCAAAACGTCACGCTTACCAAAAAGAAAAAGAAAAAAAAAAACGGATTCACAGTTATTTTGAACTAATTCCTTCAAACAGGGTGTGAAATTACACCAGGGAAACATATTTGGAGATCAGCAAGGTGAGGAGATGAATTTGATTTCCCTCTGTCTATTTGCATATATTTTTCTAGCCGACGTCTTCGGGGATTTGTTCTATGATAATGGTTCAGCGATCGTCACGTTTCTATTCACACCAGTTGGGACTTCTCAGCTGCCTCCAGGAGAGGCCGGCACGTCGACCACCGCGCCCCTGAGGTCTACAGCATATGACCGTACAGCAAAGCACAATTAACACTGTTCAGGATACATTTTCTCCAGAATATTTCAAAAGAACTATTTTGAGGATTAACTCACGCTGTCTAGATCACTTATTCAACCATGACAGATTCAAGACTTTCATATTATGTAAGGAAAAGAAAAAAAAAAAAAACCCAAAGGACAAAGAAGTCAGACATGTTTATTGGAATTCTATGATCAACTTTCTATCCATTGCTAAAATGTCTCCTTGAATCAACTGACTTTGAAGTAAAGAATGAATAAATAACACTTATTTTCCTAATGACATTTGCAAAGTTAGACATCAACGTACTTTTTTCTACATAAATATATATATATATATCTATTTCACTCACTTTAGGGTTTAAGGGGATATATTTATTTGAGCTGCTGTGAAGGAGGCTGTGCATTTTTAACCAGAGAGCAAAAGACGTGAAATTAAGACTCTTGATATCTCGCTATACGTCAAAGAAGTTTTACTAACCTCACGATGCATAAGCTCATTAAACCGTAAAGAAAAGAGACAACCAATACGTTCAAAATGCATCAGTATGAAATTATAGAGTTGTCCGTCTCAAGACAGGAAAACAGCTTATTCTTTAAAAAGGGAAAGGTTTCTTTTGAAGAGGGGTTGTATGAGGTAAATGACAAAAGTGAGCATGCTAACGGTTAGCACAGCTCCTGCTTTTGCAGAAAGCTGCCTGAGAAATGACATTACAGCTAAACTATGGACCGCTGTACATGGGTATGTAAGAAAAATTGGACTTAAGAAGACTTCCACCAAAACAAACACCATATCACTTCATGTGTGCGTAATGTGTCTGTGGCAAGCTCAACTGAAACTTTATGTTCACTTTCAAAAATCCATAAAATTTAACATTTAGAGTATTTTAAGAAAGAATTTACTGGACTTCACATTTCACTGTGTTCTTCTAAGACAGCTGGGTCTTTAAACACCAACAATCCAGGTAATACACTGAGGCAACTTCACGTTAGAAGAACGTTTTTTCTGAAGATTATGTCAAATTTACGGTAGCAACAAAGCTAGCTAGACATTAGCTCCAGAGCGCTGCTGCTGCTGCACCAAACCATCAGGAAGACAGCCTTTGATAAATAAATCAAATTCATTTTAAAGTTTCCTCCTCTCTCTGTGTTCGGCCCGATTCATCTTAAGAAGTTTTTTTTTTCACCTTGTCTCTCATGTGATAGTCCTTTCATCACTTCCATCATTAGTTTACTGCCTCTTTTTAGTTTCATTTCTTTAAGCACTAATCAGAAAAGCTAATCTGATACAGTGTGCAGCACGCCTAGGAATACAGGAGTGTGGTAGGGTTAAAGGTCATAGGAGAAAGGGCTGTCTGAGGCTCAGGAGAAGTGTTAAAAATGTTCAAAAACACAACACCATTCAAAGTGAGATTCATATTACTTCATGTGGAACCATTTTTTAAGTTGCTAAAATATGTTTTGTACCTGTGTGCACTGTACATCGCTTAGCTTCCCTTCCTTTGGCCAGTTGTTTTCCACTAAGGGGCCCTGCTGACTGGCACCAGCTGTGGATGATACATATACCTCATACAACCCTAGTTTTTTAAAAAGTGGGCTAACTGTCTCTTTGAAGTCAACACACCAAGCAGATTACGTAATGTTGGTTTTTAGCACATGTGAGGGGTTACAGCCGATAGTTGTGATTGTATTGCCGCAGTGTCCTGCATCAGCTCCTCAAACTAAGCCAGAAAGAGTGAATGTGCCACTTCTGATCACAACCAGGGCTTCTACAGTGCAGGGTGGCAGCAGCTTAGCCCTGCATGCTTTTTACTCACCCCTGCTTTTGCGGGATATTTTCTAGCTTTTAAAGACACAATTTTTAAAGAGAAAAACAATTGATCTCCCCCTCCCCCACCACTTTTTTTTTTAAATGACTAGCTCCTGCTCATCGCTTCCACATCTACTCGACTGTATAGTAAAAACTCATCAAGTAACTCCATACAGGGATCTAAGATTATGTATAGCCTAAGAATATTTGCTTTTACTATCTACAGTATAGATATATGTTGTATAGCAGAAAATAGGGCTAATACCATTTTAATGAGCGGGAAAGCAGCCAGTATCTAAAAGAAAAAAAACAGCATTACGCTGAGGAGCAGAACAGTAAAGTCACTCTCAAAGCCAAAAACACTGCCCGAAAGACAGGAAATTCACCAGAGTGGTTTCAAGGGCAAAAAAAAGAAACACTTCTGTCCCAATCAACCCCTCGCAGACTACTTGATACGACTGGTTTGATCTTCACAGGCTCCAACGTGCTGCTTTCTGTTGGCTTCATGTGATTCACTTCATCACTCCTGTACATGCACAGTTGTTTTTTTTTTTTCTTTCAGTAGTTACGCTGTAGCACCGAGACAGAACTAGATGTTTTATCTGTACCTTAAAGAAGTGCAATTGATTTATTATGTGCAATACTGTGTATTTTATACTGTTTTTACAAAAAAAAGAGAAAAAAGAAAACATAATTATTAAGATATTTAATATGCAAAATATGAAAAAATAAAAACAGACATCTACAGAGCTCTCAAAAGCCAAAGAAGACTGAGAGTCATTTGTGTAGCGTACAGTAGCATACCGTAAAGCTATTTTTTCCCACTTAACTTTAATGGTGTATGAGTGTTAGCAGCAGTTCAAATTACAACCATCCTGGGCTGAATTATCCACTGTCATGGTCGTTGCTTTGAGCGACTCAATGAAATTGAATGAACGTCAGTTGCACTAAGACGTCAGCAGAAACCCTGACACCAAAATTTCAAACAAACAGGTTCACTCTGCATTCATTAACACTAATTAAGTGAGAGTCACCGGTTGGTGAGAGAATGTTTTTTTGTGTATAAAATGGATGAACCATGAAATTCAGGATTTAACTTCAAGCACCAGTGAGGAATTTTAAACTGGTTATGAAACAGACTAAAATTAAGACTCATGCCTCTATAGTAGCTACAAAAGCAAATGAGACCATCAGCATAAAGGCTGACTATTCTTATATTGCTACCTTTAATGCCTTTCACGCTCTGCCACAGGGTAGGTGTCAGAGGAAGTGATTAAACGCAGCTGCAGAAAGTTTTGTATTCACGTTTTCCACAGCATTGATTCTCACTGAATGATGTCTTTGACTGTTAATGAGGGCAGGAAGAGGCTTTAAAAACAAAAATCACTTCTTATCATGTACAGGACAATGTTCTGTTTTGTCTACAGGGGGCGCCAAAGCTGACACAGACTGAAAGTTCCTCGCCGCATATTTAACTTTAATTTGAAAAATCTGTATGCAAAAAAAGTCAACTCTGTAATCTTGTGAGATGAAAAAGCAGGAGAAACATTTGAAAATCAAACTAATTTACTTGGAACGACACAGGGGCAGAATCCACCAGGGGGGATAAGCAGCTAAGGGCCTTCCGCTGAAAGGAAGTCAACCTGCCTGAGAACCTGCTTCTGATCCAAAGCTTACACTCAGAGACCATTTCATGCCCCAGTCATCCTTACTTTAATTCTGTCTTTTGACTTCGGAGCACGTTTTCGCTACGAGCCTGTACGTGGCACCTGACAGATGTTAGTCCAGAGCGCCATGAGGTAAAGCGAGGACAAAGCTCGGAGTGAAAGCCCCAAAAGCTGCTGAGTCACTGTTTTTCAGAATAGAGGAAGCTGCAGGAGTCCTTTTTTTTTTTTTTGCTCGAGGGCAACACTGCCCCTCCCGTTCTCTAACATGTCACCTCCGCGGGGCTTCCCCTGGGGTGGATGTTTAGAGCACATTACTAATGGCCAAAACAAAGTACAGCTTCACAAGGCACAGTGTCAAACCCTTTAAGCCGCAGTCCTCTGTGGTTTGAAGATGACGGCCATCGCCATGTGGTTCCTGGCGGTTTTCACGCGGCGAGCACGCGCCTGACGTGAGCTGTCGCAGGGTCAATAAACCCAAGAGGACACTCAAGAGTCAAGAGTATCAGCACAGGAGAGGAGCAGAGAGGTGCAGGGAGTGAGTGAAAAGTGCATGTTGGGAAGCATTATGATGCAGTGCCATATCTCACTATGCTTCTTTTTCTGTAAGAGCTCTGCAGCAGTCTGGCCGGCAGTGGAGAGAGAGAGAGTGAGAGTGAGTGAGAGGGAGAAGGCGAGGGCGAGATGATAGAAAAGAGATGCTGAGAGAAATATTATGACAGAAACAGATATAAAGATTGAGAGATAAAGAGAGCGACTGATGCAGACGGACACAGATACAGGAGATCTGAACAGCCATCACTGGCATGTCTTTGTTGCAATATGTTCAGTCAGTGAATGCACGCAGCGGAGAACACACTTCAGCCCCTTTGGCTGGTCAGCGACATGCTGTCAATCAATAACATCAAGTCCCCCCCTCCCCCACTCCCTGCAGCTTTACACTCCATTCAGTCTGTGATCTGCAGGAATATCATCGATGAAAGAATGCAAACACTTTGTTTTAGTTTATATCCTCAAAATCAAAGTTTTTAAAAGTTCCAATACATCTTTGGAAAACGCCCAAGGGAAAGCTAGTACTGTCTAGTATTTGTAGCAGTTGGGACCTAAAAGGGACACCATTTTCATAACTTTCGCTTAGTTGTTGGTTCAGGTATTTGCTGACAGAGCAAATGTTTGCTTCATTGGAGTGGCTGGAACCACAGACTCTACATGAAGTGGACTTGAGCTCCGGTTTAAAAGCCTGAAACCTGCATTCTTTCTTACGGAGAAGTGTGTGACTGCCCTGGTTGCAGAGACACTGATTTTTTTTCCCCCCATCTTCACCTTTCTATCCATACAGTGTACTTATCATTCAGTACTCATCCTGAATCTTACACGACAGAAAATGAATTCAAGGACGTAAAAAGGCAGAACGCTGTAATTCCAGTAGGGACAGCCAAAACGTTTCAGCTACCATCCTGATGTAAATGTATTCACAAGGACTCGTCTCAACCTGTTCGAGGGTGGACAGGAATGTTAAAGCCTGCCAGGATGTCCAGCGATGCAAATGTGTGGAGACTGCCGAGTGTGCGCCGCTAACAGGCGTAGCACTCCGGTGACAACACTCAACAAAAACATGACGCGCCGCAAGCCTGCACTGTGGTCACCCTCATCAACATTCTGCGTCCAGCATTGCCAAGAGAGAGGGGAAAAAGGGGACAGAAAAAGAGAGCAGGGAGACAGAGTAGAACATTAATGCATAAATCTAAATGTAAGAGGCTGCCACTCAGAAGAGCAAGGTCGCTGGTTGGCTGCTGCGCTGAGTGAGCAGTGGTGCGCAATCTGCCTGCAGAGTAGGCAGCAGTGTGCACAAGAGACCCCTGATTAGAAAGCGATGACACTTCCTGCAGCAATAGCTGGTTAGAGCCTTTGAGTAAAAGAGCAAAAAAAAAAAATGCTTAAGAAGGATAATGCTTTGATGTGACCTCCAACCCCCTCTGGGGAAAAATGACACCCTGTGTACTGATGCTAATTATTATGCAGCAAACTTCCAAGTACAATGGCGCGCTTCCTATAGAGCACTGCAGCTGACAAAAAGGCAGCGGTCAGCTGGGACAATGAAAGCAAGCTGTGTATAGGGCGAGTGAAGTAAGGGAAAGGACGGCTGCAGTCAGCGCATGTATACAAAGTAGATGGTTTCAACAAGAGGTCATAGCTGGAGCGGTTTTATTAAGAAGAAAGGATGCGCGCCTTCTTTTCCGCCAATCAGCAGTCGCTGCTGGAAGTATATGACACAATTCCACGTCCACCACAGGGTGTGAATGCTGAAATGGATGCACTTAGGATAATATGCTCATGCATTATGTGCTGACTCCATGAGTGTTGATAGCCTTTTGGACAAACTGGAAGGTGAAGTAAATATACCTGGCAATAAAGTCTACCTAATACCAATTCCAATACCCAGTGTTTAGTATCACTAAAACCAAAGACAGACTAACTAACCAGTGCCAGTATGGAATCCAAAACCAATAAACAACCCTTTGCAGATGGCCTAGCGGTTAGGTCGCGCTCCATGCTAGAGGCTACAGTCCTCCAAGGTTCGAGTCTGGCCTGTGGCTCCTTGCTTTCTTCCCCTATCCACTGTCCTATCAAATCAAGGCAGAAAAGTCTAGCTCAGACTAAAAGCTGACTCTATGTTAGCACTGCTGACTGCTCGTGTAACATGAAATATAAACTAAAACAAATGCTTGAAAAAAAAAAAAAAAAAAAGGATTTGCAAGTGGAATTCATTATTGATATTAGGTCTGTCCCCGACAAAAGGACTTTGATAGTCCAACCTGATTTGTCAGATTTAGCCCAGCATCAACTCATCAGCAAAAAATGCTGGTTTGTTTTTTTGCGCTCATGAATCCCTAATCTCATTTGCGACATAAGAAATAAACAACATCAGTAAACTTTTTGGGTTAAAACTTCTTAACTTTGAATAACAACTCCAAATCTGTGGACCGAACCACCGCAGCAGCCACAAATCTAAGCACGTGTCAGATTACCGACGAATAAACGATTTTTACTGTCTTTTAAATTACCACTGGAAGATTTACTGAACTCTTCGGATCATAACATCCCAACAAAAAGCGAGTCCCCGCCATTCCGATCCATTACATTAATGGCGCAGAAATGAAACGATGGAAGTGTTGGAGAGCCTCAAAGTGGGAGTCCTAGGCCCCTCCAGGCGGCTGGCAAAGCGAGGAGAGCCCTCCGTTAAACTCACAGCTGTATTAGCTCTACATTATGCAGCATGATACACAGTAGTGATCCTTTGTAAAAAAAATATATATATATATTCCTCCTCGTAACACTATTAGCTTAGTGAAGTGTTGAAATAGCTTCAAACAGACGGGGAGATGGAATTCAGGAACACCTGGGCGATCTCACAAATGTGAAATCACTTTACCGCAACTTTGAAAGAGAAGACGTATGTGACAGAGACGGAGAGAGCAAGAGGACACGGGGGACAAAGGACGAGCGCTGCAACACTGTGACATAACACACACGCTCACAAACACACACACACACTTGATGATTAGTGTGTGATAACTCGGGGTACTGTTGGCTTTATTAAATCACTCTCTGCCGGTGTGGCTCAGCGACGGCTAATGAAAGCAGATAAGATTCTATTTAAACAGGTGACGCTGCTTCCTGCTGCTCCCCAGATGGCGAGGCTGCTGCATGTGCACACACACAAATGCAGGATAAAGAAGCAGAGGCAGGAGGAGGAGGGATGTTACAGTATCAATATAATCAGTCAATATCATGTGACTCACTGTTGTCCTACTTGAAGTTATGACCAACTGTCTCCCTCATCACTTGGCTGTATTTAAATGGGCTGTAAAAGTAACTTTAAGTGGCCTCGGAGGATTCCCCGTCATAAAAACGCCGCGTAAAAAAAAATGGCATAAGCGTATTATTACCCACGTCTTGTTTTCAAAGTCACATCACAAAGCTGACGCAGCCCTAATGGATGAAAAGCATCAACAGGAGGCGATAGAAGAAGTGAAGGGATGAAGAAGTTGGCATTCAT